CACTCATTCACCTGCACCAGCCACACCGGAGACTTGCTGGAACTTGAGTTTGGTGGACATGCTCTCACCTCGGCTGTTCCCTTGCCTGGCATGTTCTTCTTACCCCATGGCTCACATCTGACCTCTGCAAGACTACTCAAATGTCACCTCATTGAGCCCTGACGGGACCTATTTTAAATGGTAACCCCTTTATTCTGGTACCTTACCCTCTTGAAACGTGTTTCTCCGTGGCCTCTTTTACCATCTAATATAAGGTGTATTCTATTAATTTTTAATTTCTTGTCTGTCCCCCTCCCCCGCAAAGGAATGTAAACTCCATGAAAGCACTTTTTTTTGGGGAACTGTATCCCTCATGGCTATCCCTTTTTTTTTCTTCAGAACTGTATCCCTCATGGCTAGAACAGTGTCCAGTATTAAGTGGCCAATAGATATTTGTTGAATGAATGCGCATGTGATGCAGGTTTGAGGAAGTCTACGGGAAGGGCCTCCTGGCAGAGTTCCTAACAGACAGTTGCCTGAAGAATCATTTGCAAGGAAAGCTCTCTGAACTGCAGAGCTGAGGACCCTGCAGGGGTGCTCAAGGGAGAAGGTAGTGGCCCCCACTGAGGGAGAAGATTCCGGCTACCAGGAATTATCTGTAGGATCCAGGGTGCAAGGTGGGTCAGGAGTCTCTTGTCTCTTTCCCCTACCTTTGCCATACTTGCTCTCCACACTCAGCCGAGCACCTTCTCAGGGGAAGCCCACCGGCTTCACTTTCAGCAGTTGCCATATTTTAAATCCAGCCCTCTGACTCCAAGCCAGCTGAGGCCCTGAAGCAAGCTCTTTGCCGCCTCCCTGTGGCTCCTGTCGTAAAGGAACTCTCTTCTGGAAAGAGGCCACAGAAGGGGCAACACAGTGGGTGAGGGGGAGGAAACATGATTCTTCCTGATCCCATGGCGACCCTGAATGATTGGCAACTGTCCACCTCTCACAGACATTGCCACCCATGACGATGACCATGCACTCAGCAGAGCCCTGACAGGGGGCCTTTTGTTGTTCCAGGTTGGTCATGTTTGGGGAAAGGATTTGGAGGAACAGGCAGATCCCAGGGCCTACCATGATGGGCACTGAGGCCGGTCAACTAGCATGTCTAGCCTCTACCTACTCTGCTTTTTTTTTTTTAAGATTTTGTTTATTTATTTGAGAGAGAATGAGAGATAGAGAGCACGAGAGGGAAGAGGGTCAGAGGGAGAAGCAGACTCCCCGCCGAGCAGGGAGCCCGATGTGGGCCTCGATCCCGGGACTCCAGGATCATGACCTGAGCCGAAGGCAGTCGTTCAACCAACTGAGCCACCCAGGTGCCCTACCTACTCTGCCTCCTTCCAACTCACAGCCAATCAACAGTCTTTGAGGGGTGATGTGGCCACAGTCAGCTCAAGGTGGGGTGTGTGTAAAGAGGGGAGGGCCTGGGTGTGGCCTGGGGTGGGGAACAGGGGGTAGGGGGTTGCAGATTGTGAACTGGGGAGCTGGTGCCCTGCAGGATGCTGCTCACTTGCAGCCCACTGTGTTTTGCAGGTAACAGAAACCTGCCCAAGCTGCTATCAGTCTCCAAATGGGGAAACGTCCTGCAATGCTCCTGGGTTGTCCTGTGGACCTATAAGGCAGAAATACAGCCTCAGGAACCATCTGGTTGAGTTTCTAATAAGACTGTTTCTTATTTTTCTGTGTAATTTGTTTTATTTTCTGGCTTCTTTCTTTTCCCTCCCTCCCTCCTTCCTTCCTCCCCACTCCCTCCCTTTCTTCCTTCCTTGAGAGTACGCAAGTGGGGTGGGGGACAGAGGGAGAGAATCTTAAGCAGACTTCCCACTGAGTGCAGAGCCAGACAAGGGACTGGATCTCATGACCCTGAGATCATGACCTGAGCCAAAATTAAGAGTCTGAAGCTCAATTGACTGAGCCACCCAGGCGCAACAGCTTTCTGGCTACTTTCAAGATGTTCTCTGATCTTTGGTTTCAACAGTTTGACTGTGATAGGCTTAGTTATGTTTTTCTTCCCATTTATCCTGTTTGGGGTTCTCTGAGCTTCTTGGAGCTGTGGTTTGTTGTCTTTTGTTAATTTGGGAGATTCTGAGTCATCATCCCTTCAAATATTTCTTCTGCCTCATTTTGTCTCCCCTCTTCTTCTGGGACTTCCATTACATATGTGTTCAGCCAGTTGTCATTGTCCCATACATCTTGGTGCTCAATTTTGGGTTTGCTCAATTGTTAGTTTGCTTTTACTTTTTGTGATACAGTTTGGTTCATTTTTGTTGATCTAACATCAAGTTCACAGATTTTTTTTCCCTCTGCTTTTGTCCAGTTTGATAAACCTGTTGAAGGAATTCTTCATCTCTGACATTAAGGTTTTCATTTCTAACATTTCCATTTTTCCATTTCTTTTTTATAATTTCCTACTCTGCTCAAATCCCCCATTTGTTATGTATGTTGTCCACCTTTTCCACTAGACTATTTATAGTAAATATACCTATTTCAAAGTCCCCAATTGATAGTTACATGTCAGCCATGCTTTTAATTTATTATTTTTATTTTTTTATAAGATAACACCTCCAGGGGTAGCTGGGTGGCTCAGATGGTTAAGCGTCTGCCTTCGGCTCAGGTCATGATCCCAGGGTCCTGGGATCGAGCCCCACATTGGGCTCCTGGCTCGGCGAGGAGCCTGCTTCTTCTCCCTCTGCCTCTCTCCCTGCTCATGCTTTCTCTCTCTCTCTCTCTCTCAGTATCTCTGTGTCTCAAATGAATAAATAAAATCTTTAAAAAAAATTAAAAAAAAAAAGAAGATAACACCTCCAATCATGGAGTCACAGCCATCCTTTCTCTGACTTTCCAAGTTGACCTCCCCAGTACATGGAAGACAAGACCAGGCATGGCTTTCCTCTCTCTGGCTCTTTGGCTGGGTTGTCTTCAAAAAGGTTTTTGTCCTTTCCACTTTACCAACACCTCCTTGCAGGTCACACTTAGGACTTAAAGCAGACCCTTTCCTCATGTCCCCTTCTCCACATTAGTGTTGGTTCATCATCTTGGAGGCCCCCAAGGCCACAGGCCACGCAAGCAGAGCTATGGCCAACCCCCAAATCTGGCTCGAAGAAATATGCCAAGAAGTATTCTTTCCCATGCCTTGGGCTTCCTGGAGTTTTTTGGGGGATGGAGGCGATATCTTATTAGACCAAGTACATCAAGTTTGCTCTGAAAAAAAAAGTGAAGCTTATGTATAATATCAAAAACCTAATAACTAGAAATACACCATATATATTACATATCATCATAGAGAGACAGAGGTAGAAATGTCCCTCCTTGGTGTCCAAACCTCTTGGCTTCCCAGGTGGGACAATCCACAACTTCTTTACCTTCAAGGAGATGAAACTGTCAACAAAGCAGAAGAATCTGTCAGACACTCAGCTCGCTTGCCAGGGAGCTTGCTAGAGGATGTCCAGAAAGTCAAAGTCTGCCATCACTAGAGCGGATGTAGCCACTAGGCACCTTAAGCACAGTGCCAAGGGCCTATAAAAATGTATGAAAGCCCCGAAATGTCATTGGCTTCAAAATACAAACATGTAAAAATATTAATATGCAATTGTTGACAAAACGTAATACTGTCAGTTTCATTACCCTGTCAAATTTAGTATTAAAATATTCTCGTTCCATTTACAAAACTTGTTAGATTTCATCCCTATGCATGAAGATCGTTGAGAAGTCACAGCCAACAACATGTTAAAAAAACTCAGAGCCAGTTATTTCCAAAGCAAAGTTATATAAATCCTTTCAGATTATGTAAAGCAGTACATTTAGCGTGAGGGCATTTTATTACGTGGGATACAATTGGGGTGAGGCCTCTCAAGAAAGAATAAGCCCGGGACCTGAAAGGCCAGGAGCGGCATGGCCGCCACAGTTGTTCTGTGTAAGACCTGCGTCAGGAATGCCCCTCACCTTCCTCCCTGGCCAGGCATCCTTGCTGTATGCTAAGCCGTTGCTCAGTAGTCATTTTCTACTCTGACATCATCCAAAGGCCAGCTGTTCACGTCCCATATCCTCCTCTTCCTTCCAGAGTCTCGACCTTGAGTAGAAGCCAGGATGGGGACCATTCCTGATAAACAGAATCACTGGATTTCGGGTTTTCTGAGGACAGGGTCATTTCCTGACCAACGTCCCTAGGCCAGGTGTGGCTGGGCCAGTGGAGAAAAGGGGGAGGGACAAGGCTGAGTGCAAGATGGGCAGATGGCTGGGTGCCAGGGAGAGTGGGGTGGGCGGTGGTGCTCGTTAGCTGAATGAACTCATGGAAGTAGCGTTGTCACTGGATCGAAGACAATTGCCAGAGATGGCCTCCTTGGCCCACACCATCTAGATTTGGAACCTCTGTGTCTCCATTTCTTCCACCTGTGTCCTCACTCCTCAGAGCCCTACACGCCTCTGCCTCCCATCCAGTGGCACTTGGCCTTGCCTGGTACTCGATATCTCCTTTTGTTCTTATCTTCTGAGCATTCTGGCTAATCATCAGCACATCAGTTACTCATTTGTCCATGTCTCTGATTCAAAGAAAAGTTACTGGTGCCTACTGTGTGCCAGGCACTAATCGTGGCCGTCTCAGCTTGGTGGCTCCCAAAGGGCGGAGACACCACTGGCGTCCAGGTCAGGGGCCAGGTAGTCATGGAGCTGGTTCCAAAAACGAATTGGGGAGGTGTGCGTTTCAGCAACAACACAGAAATCTTTAAAAATACATACCTCTGTTTTATTAAAAGTGTAGTTTGGGGACTGAGGGAGGAAAGTAGTGTTTCTCAAAGTTCTAGGACTACTTAGCAATACCCAGGATGTTTGTGTAAAAACACCAGCTGGGAACCTGCATTTGAAACAAGCTTCCATGTGATGTTTAGTCACCCTGAAGTTTGAGAATCACTGACTAAGGGATGGAATGGGGACTGAGATTGTCTCAATCCTTCTGGCTTTTTAGGGTTCCAGGAAAGGACTCATTTGACTTTTTACAAACAAGCTCAGCTGACTCATCTGGGGCTTCCTGGCGTTCCTTTCTGTCAGCCACCAAGACACTGAAAGAGTTAATTCAATTATGGGTTGGAGAGCGCTGAGACAAGGCCCCAGGATGTGAAGGCCCACCCAGCCCACCCAAGAGCTTCCCTCATAGCCTCTGGGAGACAGTGCAGGGCGGTGCCCAGACTGGATCCGGACGTGGAGCTGCTTACTACCATAACACTTTTGCCACATCCGAGGGGCTCTGCTTCTCTTCTTGGCATCTGCCTCTTGGCTCACATCACAGAGTACTTCATCTTCCCTCCCCTCATCCTTCCCTGGTCCTTCCTTTCCATCCACATTCCTTCCTCTCCACTCCCCTCTGATCTCCTTCCCCAGGAACCAAGCTACCAGCCCTCTCCTTGGTCTGCAGCAGGTTGGAGGTCTGTGTGGGTCTGTGCTCACTGCGTCTTGGCCGTGCACGTGAACCACTGTATGTTAGAGGTGCAGGAATAGGCCACGGGCCACAGAGGGCAGAGCACTTAGAGTCGGGCTTAAGATTCTTCTGCAACTGCACACAGTGTTTGGTGTGTGTAGGTACACAGCTACCTCACCTACCTCACCACCTCACAGGGAGCCCGGGGGGAGATGTGTATAAGACAAAGCAGAGACAGCTCTTGGAGGAGGGGGTCTGCTGGTTTTTGAGGGACAGGGCCTTTCTAGCATCCCAACCCATGGAGGGAAGATGAATAGCCCTTCCCCACATTCCGAGGGGACACCCCAGGGGCCTGTGGATGCAACAGGCTGTCCATGGCAGGCAGGAGAATGGGGCAGGTGGTGTGCAGCCTGTCCTACTTAAGAAACTAGATGGTGCTGTGACCTGGGCCTCGGGGAGCTGGTGAGGGTGACATGATCACAAAGAAGTGAGGGACCTGGGACCGCACAGCAGCTGGTTGTGAGGATCCTTGGTGAGCCAGGGGCAGGCAGCCAGAAAGAAGGTAGGAGTGGAAGCAGAGTGTGTCTCCATGCATGGAGCCCTCACAAAGAAAGCAGCATGGCCACCTCCCCGCCGCCCCCCAGGCAGCAGTAGCCTGGGCGAGTGGCAAAGAACTTTCATTGGAGAGTGGCAGATTCTCACACCACAATAATGGGGTCCCAAGACAACACGGGGAGCCCCTGCACTGAACCATCTAGGACCAGCCTGACACACAGGGAGGGGGAGCCCACCTGGGATGTGGAGCAAGACAGAAGAAGCAGGGCTTTGTCTCTACACCTGATAGTATGATACACTGAATAAACTTGTATGGAGTTAAGAAAGGGGGGAAGAAAATTGTATTCACCTAAATTCCCCTGGAAAGGGGAAGCTGTCTTTGCCAGGAACAATATTTTGATAAGTGCGTAAGCCTGAAGCTGAGATCCCAGTGGAGGCCTGGGTGTGGGTGGAACGGCTCTGCAGGAGATAGGAAGGAGTCTTTGAGTTTTGCATGTTATGCCAGAGAGAGGGGGAAGAAAGGAAGCTGTTGTTTTGTGCTGTTCACTGTGAATCCTTTTCCCCATCACCACCACCCCCCCTAAATTTTCAAGGGTCAAGTGGAGTGTGTATTCTTGATATTTATGTACACATATTTATGTGTGTGGGAAGAACAAAGGGGTTGGGGCCTTAGATTCAAACAGATGCCAAGCAAAGCCCAGGCCCTGGCAGGGATGCAGAGAAAAGAGGAGCTCGGAGAGAAGAGACTCTACTATGGGGGGGGGGGGCTTGGGCAAGTTTAGCCAAATCTTAGCGGGGCACAGCCCCAGCTGATCCCTGGGTTCCTGAGTTCTGCCACAGTGTTGTTTTGGTTACTCTCAATTAATTCTGTTTGCTTTCTCCAACTCAGCTGACAACATACACATATACAGACACAGACATATCTCTTAATCATTCTCCAGGAACTGGAAGCCAGGTGTCTATGTACTAGCTGGGACCCTCAGGCCCACTTCAGAGCAGAAGCAGAGCCAAGGACCAGCCTTGTTTGATGTTACCATGTCATCCTGTCTTCTCTATAAGTCCCCGTCTGGAGGACAGGACAGCAGCAGCATCTTACAGCCTTGGTTCTGGTTAGAGCTAGACTGGCAAGCATCAGTGCCCTCTCCCTGTCAAAGATCTGTAATTGGGGCAGGGCCAGGGCTGCAAGAGGCAGCTGGGATTGGTTCTAAAAATCTTAAAAGGCTCCTTGAAAGAGCCTTGAGTCTTCAACAAGTGACATCTTCAAGCCCAGAGAAGCAAAGGAGAGTTGAACCTTCCTAACTAGAAAAGCCTCTTGTTGGCCCACTGAGTCCCACCTCTTCCCCTCAGCTGCTCTTCCCGGGAACAAGGCAGTAAGGAAACGAGAGCGCCAAAGACAGGCCCAAGCCCGAGCCTCAGGTTCATCACGGGATTCTTGGTCTCCCTCATCTCTCCATTCCTGCATCTGGTTCTCCTTGAGAACCACCTCCAGGCCTAGGGCAGAATTCACCTCCTGAGCCAACTCATGTGCAGCTCAGGCAACAAGTGGGAAGTTAAGACTTGTGTAGTGATCTTCTGAGATACTACGTGAAGTCCTCTGAGAGAACTAGAATGGTGGCATGGGGACCCAAGCTGATGGCTGATGAGGTAGGTGAGCATCTCTCTGTCTGATGTGGTACAATAAATGAGGTGGTTATGAATGTCTGGAAAGAGATCTCTTGGGCAGTTGGACAGAGACAGTATGCATTCTGCCCCCTGCTCTTGGTGGGAAGGTGTCCCCGAATCCAGATTAACCATCCAGGCTTGCACCTTACCCGGCCTTGAGAGACCTTAAGCTTCTGCGGTAGGAAGAATGCACATCCAAGGCCAACAGCCGGGGAATGTCTGGGCACCCTCCTAGCTGGCCCCAGGGCAGGCTGGGGGGAGTCCTCTTTTCTATTGGGTGACTGGAGGAGGCCACGTCTGTTCTCCAGATGGCCTCCATCTGGTTCTCCTGTTGGCTGGGGTGTGGAGGTTGAAAGTGTAGAAAGAGACAAAGAGTTAGATACACAGAGGGAGATGGAGAAGCAACAAGCTCTCCAAAGCTGTAAGGCCCAAAACATCAGGTCTTGTTTTCGTTCCCTCTCAAATAGTTGTCACCACCGTCCTGTCACCTCTCTTCCCCTTCACCCTAAGCCTCACCTCCCTGGGGCTCCTCTGGCTGAGGAGCTGCTGGAAGAGAGCTGGGATAGCCTCTGTTCTTCCAGGCACATGCCCCAGGGCTGCCCTGCAGAGGGCCATACTAGGGGAGGATGTGGGTCTCCTTGACCACCCAAAAGCTCATGGTATCTCTTTCTGAGCCTGGAGGTTACACGGTGGGAAGGTATCAGGCTTATTTATATGGGCAGATCAATAGCAGGTGCTGGACCAACAATGCTCAGGGCAGAAATGGTTCTAAGCCCTCAGCTGTGGGTCCTCAGAATCCTTCAGTTGCAGTTTGAAACCTACTTGGCCAGGCTGGCTTCTGAAGCCCACTTCATCTCATAACACACACACACACACACACACCACCCCCGCACCCCCCGCATCTGGACCAATGGCCAGAGCCGAGCAGGGCGGCTGAGGAGACAGGCGTCTTGCAACTCATGAGGTGAGCTCGGCCTGTCTGTGCCCTCACCAAGCTGCCAAGTCTCCCCAGTCTGGCCACCCCCAGTCTCGATCCCTGTCTCCCATCCTGCAGGCTTCCCGTTAGCTTCCCGGCACATACCGGGCCAGGTGCAGGGGCACACATTCCCAGTGCTTGGATGTGAGGTGCTCTGGGGACGGCTTGCAGGAGGGGCCACAGGAGTAGATGCGCCGGAGAAAGGAGCGGGGCGCCTTATTTTTCCTCGACTTCGGGTTGGTGGTCACCGGAGTGTGCAGATGAATGTTCCACTCCAGCTGGAGCTAGAGGAACCAGCAGAGAGGCATCAGGGAGACAGGCATGTATCCCCTCTCTAGAGCATAGCCTGACCCAGGGCTGAGAAGAAAAGGTAAGCCCCAGGGAACCCCTCCAATCAGAGAGCCCTGGGACCCCCGAGTATCAAACTTCCTAAAAATTCCTTGAATTATTATTTGCTAGGTTAGTCCCTGTTTTCTCCTTTGCTGTGGAGAAGCTGGACAGGGAGTGAAACAGCAAGGAAATAAACTAAAGGAAACCAGAGCAACGGGAACTCGAGAGAGCACTCAGGGTTCATGACGTGAGGCCAAGTTGTGCCTAGAATGCTCTGGGTATCTTTTTCTGGCATTGTGTGAGGAGCTGAGGGAACCCTCCCAGCCACCCAGAGAACTGTCATATGGTCCCTTTCCTTCTCACCCTCAAAACCAATGTAGTGAGACCCCAGCATGTGGGTGCAGAAGACAGCTCTGACCAAGCCGGGAGAGCAACCAGAACCCACAGGGGCAGGGACAGAGGGACCCATGAAGGAGGGAGACCTTGAGCACGAAGCCAGGACTGCAGAGTCCAGCTGCCTCCCCTCTCCAGAAAAGTCTGTCTTCTACAGCTCTTTTTGAGGACTTCTCTCTCTCTCCCAGCCTCCCCCGTATGTGGAAACTGGAAAGCTGCCCTTCCTCCCACTCGGGTGCCTCCAGCCTTTGCCTCCTCCTGGCTCAGAGGCTTTCACAACTGTCCTCTTAGTTCCCTTCTGCTGCCCTGCCCCCAGTCCCACCCCACAGCCCCACTGGCTCACTTCCTGGCCCCATCCCCGCTGGGGGCACCGACCCCTGGCAGGGGAGGCCCACCTTGGGGAACAGGGTCGCCATGCTGTTCAGACACTCTCGGTGCTTCTCCTCCAGGTCCTTCTGCTTGTCTGCCCAGGGCTGCAGCCAGAGGTTCTGCAGGTGGTCGATGTTTTCCAGGAAGATGTGGAGGTTCTGGGCCTTGTAGGTAGTCCCAGTTTCTTGCATGACTTGTATGTGGTTGATCACTTCCTGTCTGGGAAACAAGGGAAGTGACTTAGTGGGTGAAAGAGCCTCCTGCTCCCGCAAGTCTGTTAAGCAGGCAGGACTCCTTGCTTGTAATTCCTGACAGCAAGGAGAGCAACAGAGGTTGGTGAGAGCCAAGGAAAGCAGGAGGCAGAGAAGTGCGAGGTGGTGGCAGGTGGGGAGCCTCGGGGCCCGGCTGGAAACAGGAAGAGAGAGTAAGGCAAGCAGGGGAGCATAGTAGGTGCATTATGGACAGGGCGAAGGGAAGAGAGGAAGAAATAAAGTAGCGGGCTTAGAGGAAAAGCCCACAATGGAAAGAGCAGAGTGTATATGCAAGTGCCTGACCTCCCAAGGCCCCAAGGTCAGACACCCTTTGCCAGTCCCCTCCCTCAGGGGGCCTTGTCTGGGGTGACCTCTCCATCCCCATTTGCCCTGCGCTCTTCCTCTCCATTTGGGTGTTGGCTCTGCTCACACCCACACACGGCCGTGGGCGTGGGTGCCAGGGAGTACCTACCGGAGGCTCTGGAAGCGCCTGTACAGGATGTACCTATGGCACAGGCACTGCAGCCGGAGCACGCTCAACTCCATGGTGGTGGTGGTGAGCTCCAGCACCTTGCTGCGCAGGGAATGGGGCAGCCCCAGCTCAGCCTCCTCACTCAGGAGCTGCAGGTTCTTCCTCAGGGCCTCTGCGTCCATGTGGTATACTTTCCCCTTAAGAGCTACCAGGGAGATTTGCAAGGGAGGCCGGGACACCTTTTGGATGGATGTCCCTGTGACAGGGAAGGAGGCTGATTTCTTGGGCTTCGTGAGACCCTGGGAGGCCCATGGTTTCTGGGTAGACTTGGCGGAACTCAGGTTCCTCTGCTTTCTGCGGGCAAGCTGCTGGGTATTAGGGGACCTGGGCCAGTGTGGCCTCCTGACTTGGTGAGCAGACTGGGCGCCGCTTGGGGGAGGCACCAGTGATGCCTCCGCCACGTCCTTCCACCGCCCGGTGGTCGTGAAGATCATCCCGTCCACGTCCTCCTCCAACCGCTCCGGCTCTCTCCGTGGGCCCCCCTGCTCCTTCGCCTGCTGGCCCAACCTCCGCTGCTGCTCCCTTGCCGCCTCCTCCATCTCCCACTGCTGCAGCTTCTTCTGGTGCTCCTGCTCGAGCAGGGCCCATTTCTTCTGCCGCTGCAGCCACATGGCCTCCTCCTCCAGCCACAGCTGCCTCTGCATCTCCCAGCTGAGTTCCTCTTCCCAGTGCGCCACCTTACTCTCCAAGGCCGCCTTCTTGGAGCTCTCTGGGGACAGCTGCATCCCAATATGGGACTTAATTTGGAGTTCTTCCTTCTCCTGGGCTGCTTTCTGGAAGTCCTTCTGGTTTTTGACTTGGTGGCCTGGGCTCTCTGCCACAGGGCCTTCCCATTTCTTAGGAAACTTGTGATCCACCAGGGACAGCAACACGGGCTGGAGACGTTCAGTGTCCTTGCTGCTGTACACATCTGCAATCCTTGAGTGTGTGGTCATGGTGGAAAGTGGCTGGGACGTTGAAGGCCTAGTACCACTGTCCCAGGCTTTGGCCATGGAACCTGGGGGCAGTGACAAAAACAACCACTCCTTCTTGGGTTCCTGTTGGGTTTCCTCCATGACTGTTTCTTTCTTTGGGAGGGTCTCTTTCTCAGGGGGCCCCAGGGAGTCGACCAAGATCTTGGCTGGCTCTTCTGCTTGATCTCTAGCAGACTGAGCCTTCTTCAGCTGGAACTCTAAGGCATGCTTTATCAGGAGAAGGTCATGGTATTTTCCCCCTAGAATTTCCACCTGCTTTAGTAGGGCATCCCTCTTGTTCTGGAGAACTTTGAGGGAATTCTGGAAGTAGAGCCTCTGGCTGCTGAGTTCTTTGGTCATCTCTATTTCCAGATTCCTGTATTTCGTCTCCAGGTTACTGTTCTCCTTGTGCTGGAGGGTCAAGGCCTTGTTGAGGTTCTCCACCACAGCAGACATGTACCTGATGGCTCTGACCTCCCCCTGGTTGAACATGGTGGAGTCCAGGAGCTCCTGCAGCATGGACGTCACCTCGGAGACCTTTGTGCACGTAGTATGCTTGTCCTGGAGCATCTGCTCTGGGCTCAGTGGCTGAGGGTAGGATGCAGATCTGGGTGGGCTTTGTTCCCACCAGCCCTGCCAGAAGGTGTGTTTGGGTACTAGGAGAGGTAGAGAGAACAAAGGCAACATCCCGTGGGTGCCACAGATTATACTGATTCTCTACACCCTGCTTGGCCAAATTCCCCATCCAACCCTCTTAGGCCTTTGGCAAGAATAAGGAGCTGAGGCAACACGTGAGGCCAGGGAGATGTTATCAGGAGAGGTCTCTGCCAGGCTCAGAGCTTGCCCAGAGCTTTCCCATTAGGGTCTGCCAGCTCCATGACACCTGCAGGGCCCACAGGGCCTGAAACTATTCAATTCAGTTCATCTCAGTTCAATGTACTTCTGATCCTACATATTTCTCTGAAGTAAAGTTACTTTTCTAATCATGCTACTTCCCAGCCTCAGTATCCATGTTTGGCTCCCTACTGCCAACTACCCAAACTCTGGAAGCTTACCTGGTACTTAGATTCCAGATCACCTCAGAAGCTTTGTTTCCCTTTCCTGTTACCACTAGACTATGTAGAGAATTTATCACATGGTTCTGCAACTGTTCACATGTTGGGTTTTTTAAGGACTAATATCTTTTTCCATTTGGGGGGTCATGAACTCCTTTGATACTTTGATGAAACTCCTTTGACTGGACCTCATCCCCAGGAAAATGCACATAAACACAGACTGTGCACTCTGTTCAAACCAGTTCATAGACCTCGGCTCCTCAGGGCTGGGTCATGGTCATAGCGGTATCCCCTTGATCTACATACGTAGGGCTGCTAGAGTGATTCTCTTGGATCATCCATTCACTTGCCCATTTGACGAACATCACTGACAGAAAAAGCATTGGCTAACTTTGGATGAGGGGCTAAAGGGTATATGAAATTAAGTGGTAGTGAAGTCAAGCTAGCATTTAGCTAATATTGTCAGAGGCCATATGGCCTAGTGGTTCAGAGCTTGAATTCTGGAATCATATACCTTGGGCTTGAATCCCATCCTTACTACTTGCTTTAGGCAAGTTTCCTAACTTCTCAGTGCCTCTGTTTCTGAAGAATGGGGATAACCACAGCATCTACTCATAGGACTTCACTAGATCATGCATGTTTAGGGGCAAGCACAGTACCAGGTACCTAGTAAGTGCTCAATAACTAATTCCTAAGAAGAAACGAATAAAACACAGCCTTTGCCCTCCAGGAGTTTATAATCTAGCAGGGAAATCAATATACAAATAACTATATTTCAAGACTTGATGTGCTAAGGATTGTAGGAGAGACTGTCTCCTCCTTACCCACCCTTCCTTGCTTCTTCCCTCCCCCAATTACCGATCTTGCTTGATAAGGATCCTGGCTATGAGAATCAATGACAAAACACTAATGTGACCTACTACTTATTAAGCCCTGAGCATGTTCTAAGCCTGGTGTCAGATGCCTCAGGCCCAGTGGAACCCTGCACTTGGGCAGGATGCTCCTCACTTTGTATATGAAGAGAATGAGGTTCAGAAAGATGAAACAACTTGCTCAAAGTCACACAGCCAGAAATTGGCACATGGGATTCAAACTCAAGTCCATCTGACTGTGAAGCCCATGCTCTTGAGTAAGATTAAGAAGCTGGAAAACCTAAGTGTGGGGTCTGGTTTTGCCACAGTTTTTGTTTGTTTGTTTGTTTGTTTGTTTTGTTTTCTTTTGTGGTCCTTTCTCTTCTCTGAGCTTTAGTGTTCTCATCTACAAAATGTAGGAGGAGTTCAATAATCTCAGGTCCCTTCTAGTGCTGATATAAGTAAAATTTCAAGGTTGAGCTGTGTTGTTGACTGACCATTTCTGGAGCAGCCACAATTGAGAAGGTTCTGAAAGGGTCTCTGGCTGAGTCTTGCTAGACTTCTTGGCTCTGCAGCTGGATTTGGCGTAAGGAAGGGATGTTTTTTGGGCTCTAGCTACAAACTCCATCTAGCTTTTCTGGCTTTCTAGCCTTGATCCCCAGGACCTATATGAGGCTACAGCCCCAGGAAGCACCAACAGGGATCTGTCTCCACATTACTCCTCCCTCCACAGCTCAGAACTGCTCAGTGCTCAGCTTGGGTTCAACACCCCAACACCTCACTGTTGCCCCTCCATCTCAGATAAGGCTTTTCTTATGGAGGAGAGTCAGAAAGACCCCCATAGACCCCAGTATGTGACTTCTTCCCCTGAGATAGCATCCACTCCACCCAACCCCCCTCCCGGCTGCTCCTGCAACCTACTTTGTGTCCTTTTCTTTTGTCTTTCAATGAGAGTAGAGCAAAGGGAAATGAGAGACTCGATGCCTCCTTTGGTGGCAATGAGGGAGAGAGGTAACACCTTCTCCATCACCTCGATCCATTCATCCAGAGCTTTCTCTTCCTCCTTACCCTTCCTGTTCCTGAGCTCATAGGTCAGATTGTCACCTGGAAAGGGAGTGGAGGATACAGGCTGAGTGCAATCTGTCCTCTAGGGAGCCCCAAGGAGTCCCATAGCATGGGGGTTATACCAGCAGGCTTTGAGGTTGGATTGGATTCACCTCTTACTAGCTTTGTGATGTTGGGTAAGTTACTTATTTCTCTGAGCCTCAGCATACGTGCCTATAAAAGGGTTGGGTGGGGATTAAATGAGATAATACGTGTGAAATGATTAACATGAAGCCTGCTGTGTAGAAAATGTGCAAGAGACATTAAACTGTGTTGTTGTTTACCTATAAGGCCAGGGATGTGTCTGCCTTGTTATTGCTCTATCCCCATTGCCTGGTCTGGTATATGGACAGTTAAATGTATTAACTGGAGTGAACAACCCTGCTTAGTTCTTGGGGGCAGCTGAAGGACCACAAAACTGAGAGCTCCTTGGGGGCAGGGCAGTGCGAAGTGGGGTGGGGCACATCCCTATACCATCTTACTCCAACATTGCTGTATCTGCCCAACCTCAGAGCAGGGTAAAGTCTTGTGAAGGCATAACTCTGATCTTAATGGGGGTAGCACCTGGCTCTAGGGCTGCGTATAGTTGGTCCACACTCAAGTGCCTATACCGATTGTTCACAGTTGGCATCAGTGCTATTTGGCCCAGTGCCCATGAAGTCAGGGTCATTAAGGACTTTGAATATCACCGGTGGGTTCCTTTATAAACTACCTGGTATGCTCCACCAAAAAAACTGTTATGTAACCAATAAACAAATTCAGTACTGTTGCAGGATACAAAATCAACATACAAAAATCAGTTGCATTTTGGGGTGCCTGAGTGGCTCAATCAGTTAAGCATCTGACTCTTGATTTTGGCTCAGGTCACAATCTGAGGGCTGCGGGACCGAGCCCCACATCAGGCTCCACACAGGGCATGGAGCCTGCTGGGGATTCTCTCTCTCCCTCTCCTTCTGCCCCTCCCCCCCGTCTGCATGCACACATGCACACTCTCTCTCTCTCCAAATAAATAAATAAAAATAAAGTTCTCTTTAAAAATCAGTTGCATTTCTGTACGCTAACAATAAACTATCTGAAAAAGAAAGACAATAATCCCATTTACAACAGCATCAAAAACAATAATGTACTTTGGAATAAATTTAACCAGGGAGGTGAAAGATCTCTACACTGGAAACTGTAAGACGTTGATAGAAGAAATTGAAGAAGACACATATAAATGGAAAGATACTCCACATTCATGGATTAGAAGACAATATTGTTTAAAATGTCCATACTACCATCTTAGAGCTATCTATAGATTCAGTGAAATCTCCATCAAAATCCCAACGGCATTTTTCACAGAAACAGAAAAAACAATCCTAAAATTCATATAGAACCACAAAAGGCCCCAAATAGCCAGAGCAATCTGGAGATAAAGAACAAAGCTGGAGGCATCATACTATCTGATTTCAAACTATGCTACAAAGCTATAGGAATCAAGACAATATGGTATTGGCATAAAAAGAGATACACAGACAAATGGAATAGAATCAAGAACCCAGAAATAAGCCCATGCGTTAATGGGCAGCTAGTATTTATTTTTTTTAAAGATTTTATTTATTTATTTGAGAGAGAGAGAGAAAGCTTGAGCAGGAGGGAGAGGCAGAGGGAGGGGGAGAAGCAGACTCCCTGCTGAGCAGGAAGAATGGGCAACTAATATTTGACAAGCAAGCCAAGAATACACAATGGGTGAAGGATGGCTCTTCAATGAGTGATGTTGGTGAACCTGGACATTCATATGTAAATTGGACCCCTATCTTAACACCATTCACAAAAATTAACTTGAAAAGGATTAAAGACTTAACTGTAAGACCAGAAAAAGCTTCTTGACGTTGGTCCTGGCTTATTTTGTGGATGTAACACCAAAAGCAAAGGCAACAGAAGCAAATATAAACAAGTGGGACTACATCAAACTAAAAAGTTTCTGCACAGTAAAAGATAGGATCAACAAAATGAAAAAGGCAATCTACAGAACGGGAGGAAATATGTGCAAACTGTTTATCTGATACGGGGTCAATATCCAAAAGAAGGAGCTCATACAACTCAACAGTGAACAAAACAAATAATCCAATTAAAAAACGGGCAAAGGCCACACAGAAGCCATGATAAAGACCAAAGGAGGATGGCCTGTTCCCAGAGATCTTTCCCTCCACGATGCAAGCACACAGCTTCCAGAAGGTGGCCCCTTGAAAAGTGACGACAACTTAACTGTCCAACCGTAGCTACTCCGTGACTGTGCAAGCGGCATACCCATTTACCTTTGATCAAATTTACAGCACTAGCTGCAGCACACACTCCAAACTGGTTTAAATGTACACGGCACAGAATCAGTTACTGGGCAGCCTATCGACTTGGGGAGAAAACTATGTACAGGTGCTAACTCTCAGCGTTGTCCTGGAGTTTCGGAAAGCAGGTGAATGTGTGGTCCCCCGCTGTGCTGATAAATGTGTCCATGCCAAACACTGGTCAGTGTGGGCCTGGCCAGGGCTGGACCAACTACTCTGAGGATGAGGAAACAGCTGTCCAGAAAAATCAAATGGCTTGACTAAGTTCACACATCTACTAAATGGTGGAGATGGATGCACATCTCCTCCACAGCAAGTAATTTTAACCACAAGGGTATGGTGTCTCCCGAAGTTGTAAAGGAGGTTTAGTGAAAGTGACAAGGGTCAAAGGCCCTGAAGGGAGGGAGAGCAGGAGGCAGGGGCCAACAGCACCAGACAAATATTAAAATATGTATCCTGAGAGATTCGAGGGCACACTAACGTTAGAGATGATGCATTTAAAAGACACCAATTTGGACACACTTCTTTTGTTATTTTTAATTCTCTCATTTGTAATATTAAGGATGAAGAGCCAGATTATATTTATGATTCCTTTCAACCCTATGATTAAATACGTACACGAAAGAAAAAAAAGGCAAAGGACCTGAAGAGACATTTTCTAAAGACGACCTACAAATGACCAACAGGTACATGAAAAGGTGCTCAATGTCATTCATCGTCAGGGAAGCACAAATTAAAACCACAAGGAGATACTATCTACATACCTGATAGTATGACTATTATGAAAAAGACAAGAGATAACAAGTGTTGGTGAGGATGTGGAGAAAAGGGGACCCTTGTGCATAGCCGGTAGGAATATAAATTGGTACGACCATTTTGGAAAACAGTATGGAGGTTTTTCTAAAAATTAAAAATACAATTACTATATGATCCCACAAACCCACTTCTGGATAGATGTCCAAAAGGAATGGAACAATACCTCCAAGAGATATCTGTATGCCCGTGTTCACTGGAAACATTATTCACAAGAGCTGAGATATAAAACCAAGCTAAGTGTCAGTTGATCGATGAGTGGTTAAAGAAAATGTGGTATATACAATGAAATATTTTATTTTTTTAGTTTATTTATTTAACTAATCTCTACCCCCAACGTGGGGCTTGAACTCATGACCCTGAGGTCAAGAGTCACATGCTCTTCCAACTGAGCCAGCCAGGTGCCTTTATACAATGAAATATTATTCAGTCATAACAAAGGAAATCCTGCCATTTGTCACAACATGGATGGACCTTGAGGGTATTATGCCAAGTGAAATAAGTCAGACAAAGAAAGACAAACACTATATGATCTCACTTACATGTGGAATCTAAAGCGCTGAACTCACAGAAAGACAGTAGATGGTGGTTACCAGGGGCTGGCGGGTGGGGGAAATGGGGAGATGTTGGCCAAAGGCTACAAAGTTTCAGTTATAAAATAAAAAAGTTCTGGGGATCTAATATACAGTGTGGTGACTATACTAACAATACCATACTGTATGCTTGTAATTTGCTAAGAGAGTAGATCTTAAATGTTCTTGCCAGAAAAAAAAAGGGGGGGGTGGGTAACTTGTGAGATGATGGATGTTTTAACTAACCTGATTGTGACAAGCCTTGCCCAACATATATGTCTATCAAATCATCACATTGTACACTCTAAATTACACAATGTTATCTGTCAATTACATCTCAATAAATCTGGAAAAATTAAAAATAAAATAAAACAGCATGGGCTCGAATTCAGTTTCAACCCTGCTAAAAAATGAGATGTCACAATGGACCTGGGACTTAGCTTCATCACACATGCAGCTAATGTCACAATCTACTATGTTCTGGACAATTACATGTTTGTCCCTCTGGGGAGTAGATGTGATCGCTGTAACAGGAGTGGGGGTAAGGTCTCAGTGGGGAGGCCCTGCACCTGCTGCCCCACATTCCCCTCCCAGGGAGAGCTGACCTGGGGTGGGGAAAGGAGGAGACAGGAGTGAGTGTGGAACCATTGTCCAGCGGGGAAGTGCCCGCCCTCAGGCACCCAGGCTGCAGACTCACCCCAGTCACCCAGCCAGCGGAGAATTTCGTACAAGTGCTTCTCTTTGGTCTTAGCATCTTTGGAGAAGGAAGCAATTTTCTCCAGCAAGATGAATCTGCTCTTGCCCTTTTGCTCTGTCCGGTCAGATTTTGCCTTTTCTTTTAAATCATATCCCAATTCTTCCTGGAAGCGGTTGATGACACAGTTGACATTGTCCAAGATGTCTGAGAGCTGGGAAGAAATATCCTATATGGGAGGCAATAGATTGTACTGTTTAGGGGTGTGAACTCTGGCACCAGATACCATGTCCTGGTAGTGTGATCTCAGGCAAGTCAGTTCACCTCTTGGGGCCTTAGTGTTCTTACTTGTAAATGGGATCATTATGGTACCAACGTCACAGAATTTTTGCAAAGATTAAATGAATTAATATTTGTAAAGTACTTAGGACAGTGCCTGGCACATAAAATAAGTGTTAGCTCTTCTTAGTGTCACTTTGATGATTAAGACCAGGTCAGGAAGGGAGAGAATACTAAAAATCCAGAGCATATATTCCTTCAGAATTTCATAATTTTCTAGGGACTTCTAGACATCTCAATAGGATCCAGAAGCAACAGACTGAAAAAATGAGGACCTAAAAAACCCTTAGGATCAGAGGCTCCCATAAAAAATATGCACTAGAGGCTCACGTGAGGGTGATTTCAGCCTTTGGCCATTTCCCTGTAAGCTTCTAGGGCTTAGCGTGAAGGATTCTGACAGGTGGCCAAGAACAGACCTGAATCAGGAACTCTGGGCCCCTCTTCTTGCCCTGCTAAGACCTATCACTATGTGTCTCAGGGCCATCCTTATGGGCTGTTCCCTTCCTGAGCCCTGTCTCTCAGGGGTGGTTTCATTCTAGCTCGCCCTATAGAGGCCAAGTCTAGAAGATGGATATTTTGGATTAATCTGTCTGCAAACCCAGCTTGCTGAGGATCCCAGGACCCCTGAAGGCCCAGAGCTGGACACGTGCCCCAATCTGGGATCAGATTCCAGTCCCCACATCAGATCCCGATAGAAGAGTGACTCCTTCATTTCAGGTGTTACCTCCTGAGCCCGTGTTAGCTGGGCAGCCTCAATCTTTGAGATGATGGCTTTCACCGATGCAGGGGTCATCAACTGTGGGGGCCTGTCTTTCTCCATTTTGGATCACCCTGTTAGTTGCAAGGATGTCCTGTGTCTCTGGTACCCAGGCCTGGACATGTGATGCTAGCTGCTTTGGGGTTAAGGGCTCCAGGGCAGTTCCTGAGTACCCTTTTTCTAACCACAGCTCCCTGTAACTGCCGGGCATCAGGTTCCAACTGACCTTTTCTCCAGTGACATCATCAGTTTGACTAGAAGAATGGCTCCTTGTCAACTGCTTGGTTATCTAGCTTTTTTTTTTTTTTTAAAGATTTTATTTATTTATTTGAGAGAGGGAGAATGAGAGAGAGCACGAGAGGGAAGAGGGTCAGAGGGAGAAGCAGACTCCCTGCCGAGCAGGGAGCCCGATGCGGGACTCGATCCTGGGACTCCAGGATCATGACCTGAGCCGAAGGCAGTCGCTTAACCAACTGAGCCACCCAGGCGCCCAGGTTATCTAGCTTTTTATCCATTACCTAATATATATTAAGTCGACCTATTGTGGGTTTTTGTTTTTGTTTTTGTTTTAAAGATTTTATTTATTGTCAGGGAGAGTGAGCACAAGCAGGGTAAGTGGCAGGCAGAGGGAGAAGTAGGTTCCCTGCTGAGCAGGACTCAGGGATCATGACCTGAGCTGAAGGCAGATGCTTAACCGACTAAGCCACCCAGGCATCCCGTGTTGACCTATTGTTTTTTTTCTTAAGTCCTTAAATGGTCTGCTACCAAACTAAATATTACTGGCTAAAAATAGGAAGAAGCAATTAGAAAAAGTTCTTTGCCCAGAGAAAAGGTTTTAAAAATTAGGGCCAATCAATAACTAATGGTGATCTGTTTGCATTTGCACCAGGGACCAAGGCTCTTTCAGCACTTTTACTTACTGAAGGTGATCACTATTGCAAGATGGCTTTTAGAAACAAATGTCTAAAATGGACATTGTTGTATGCCCAGGACCTAGAACCAAGTCTGGCACACAGTAGGCACTTAATAAACACTCGTTGAATGCATGCATATGTAAGAACAAATATATATAGTAGCAAATTATTCTTCCATGCTACTTAAAAGTATTCCCAATTAACAGATAAGGAATTAAATATTGTAAGTTCAGTTCTCAGCAGTGTCATGGCCATTTAATAACTTGTCACCTGACACCCATCTTTCAAAAACCATCATTCATTCATATACTTGAAGTTAGCTCTTTTATTATTGCCTCTTTCACTCAATGAACACTTATTAGGAACATTCTACATGCTAAGCCTGGGCCTACGTGCTAGAAATACAGAAATGAGTGAGACCTAGTTCTGTCCTTGAGGCACTCATACCCTGGTTTACAGACACCTCTCTATCTATACATCTGGCACTGGATAGTCCTTTAATCCCTTAAGATTTCAGAGCATGTTGTAGTTTACAAATAACTTATTCTTCCTTAAAAACACGGATGAGGGGTGCCTGGGTGGCTCAGTCAGTTAAGCATCTGCCTTCTGCTCAGCTCATGATCCCAGGGTCCTGGGATTGAGGCCCGCGTTGGGCTCCCTGCTCAACGGGGAGCCTGCTTCTCTCTTTCTCTCTGCCTGCCACTCCATCTGCTTGTGCTTTCTCTCTCTCTGTCAAATAAATAAATAAAATCTTTAAAACACAACAAAACAAAACAAAAACATGGATGAGCCAGCTAAGGCTCAGAGGAGTTACGAGATTTACCTAAAGTACAGAGCTGGAAAGTCAGGACTTTACCCTGTTTTCCTGATTTCCCTGATTCCTCTCCTTCCTCCGCTTCCTCCCTTTTTTCTTTCTTTCGAACCCAATCATACTGATAATTAGATTACCTATAAATGACCTAAGAAAGCTAATTAAAAGATAGAGATTACAAGGTTCAACAACGAAAAACCCGAGACTGAATTATGTGCTCTCTGTAAGAAACACACTTTAAATAAAAACACACACATAGGTTAAAAGTAAAAGGACAGAAAGAGATAAACAATGCTAATACTAATCAAAAAGAAAGCTGGAGTGGCTATATTAATATCAGACTTTAGAATAAGAAATATTAGCAAAGATAAAAAGGGAAGGACATTCCATAATGATAAAGGTGTCAATTAATAAAGGGGATATAATCTGGGGCGCCTGGGTGGCTCAGTCGGTTAAGCGTCTGCCTTCTGCTCAGGTCATGATCTCAGGGTCCTGGGATCAAGCCCTGTGTTGAGCCCCACATCGGGCTCCCTGCTCAGTGGGGAGTCTGTTTTTCCCTTTCCCTCTGCCCTTCCCCCTGCTCATGCTCTCTCTCTCAAATAAAGAAAGAAAATCTTTTTTAAAAAGGATATAATCCTATATGTACCCACACCTAATAATAGAGCTTCAAAATATATGAAGAAAAAAAAACTTATGGAAGTGAAAGGAGAAATGGACAAATCCACAATTATAGTTAGAGATTTCAACACTTCTCTTGCAGGAATTGGTAGAAGTAGAAAAAAATAAGTAAGGATTTAGAGGTTTTGAAAAACACTATCAACCAACTTGACTCAATTGACATTTATAGAACACCTCATCCAACAACAACAGCAGGACACATGTTATTTCCAAATGCATATAGAACAATAATCTGAGGGGCCCCTGGGTGGTTCAGTCGGTTAAGCGTCTGCCTTTGGCTCAGGTCATGATCCCAGGGTCTTGGGATGGAGCCCTGTGTTGAGCCCCACATAGGCCTCCCTGCTGAGCGGGGAGCCTGCTTCTTCCTCTCCCTCTGACGCTCCCCCTGCTTGTGTTCTGTCTCTCTCAAATAAATAAATAAAATCTTTAAAAAAAAAAACAATAATCTGAGCCTTAAAACAAATATCAATACATTTACAAAGACTAGAGTCATATAATGGGACACCTAGTTGGCTCAGTTAAGTGACCAACTCTTGATTTCAGCTGAGGCCATGATCTCAGGATCTCAGGATCGTGTGATAGAGCCTCCATGGGTGCTCCTTACTCAGTGGGAAGTTGGCTTCTCTCCCTCTGCCCCTCCCCCTGAGCAAACCACACTCTCTCAAATAAATAAATCCTTAAAAATATATATATTCTCTGACTACAATGGAATTAAACTATAAATCAATAATTGAGAAATAGAAAATTCCCAAATATTTGTAAATTAAACAACTTCACATAATCCATGAATCAAAAAAGAAATCACAAGGAAAACTATGAAATATTGTGAACTGAGTGGAAATGAAAACATGACAAAATTTAGCTCTTGATTTCGGCTCAGGTCATGATCTCAGGGTCCTGAGATTGGCTCCACCATGGGTGTGGAGCCTGTTTAAGATTCCCTCTCCCTGTGCCCCTCCCCACACCTTTTCTAAAAAGAAAAAAAAAAAAAAGAGCCACGCTTAGATGATCACTAGCCTAGGAAAGATGTTTGTAAACCTTTTTTTATTATTTATTTTTTTAAAGATTTTATTTATTTATTTGACAGAGAGAGACACAGCAAGAGAGGGAACAAAAGCAGGGGGAGTGGGAGAGGGAGAAGCAGGCTTCCGCAGAGCAGGGAGCCTGATGCAGGGCTCGGTGCGGGGCTCGATCCTAGGACCCTGGGATCGTGACCTGAGCTGAAGGCAGACACTTAACAACTGAGCCACCCAGGCGCCCCTGTAAACCTTTTTTAAAAAGCAGTCAACCTCCTTTTCCAAGCAAAGCCTTTTGTAGAACCTCACTATCTAAGACAGATAAAAGCAATATCTTGCTAGAATATATTAATATTATAAGTTCAGTTTCATGATGTCTCAGTATTATGAAATTATTCAATGTCAACAAGGCTGTTTTGATAAACTGCAAAATTTGATATGTAGGACATTTGATTAATTTGATTAATTTTTTAAAGTAATCTCTACACCTAACGTGCGGCTTGAACTCACGACCCTGAGATCAAGAGTCACACGCTCCACTGACTGAGCCACAGCCAGGTGCTCCTTGAGTATATATAAACTACTGTTTTAGAATCAGATAAAATATATTTGAAGTTTCTGGGTAAAAATGGTAGATTGAACACATGTATCTAATTTTGCTCTACTAAAAATACACTAAAACTATAGCAAAGGGATTTTTTTAAGCCCTAAATCTACAAAGACAGGGAACCAGGAGAGGAAACAGGAGCAAAATACTTTAGGAAGTTGGGAAGCATATGGATGAGGGGTTACTGACTTAGACTAGAGAAGGATGGGTCCTAAGGCAGCAGTGGGGCAACGGGATGGCAAACAGAATTGGTTACACCAGATGGCTGGCCACCCCAGAAGGAAGACCTAAAGATGTTAGCATCAGAGGCTCCCTCAAGCAAAGCTCTTGGCTGACAAGCCCCACCCATATACCTGAGCTCATAGAGTACAGATGCTTCCAGTTGGCTTTTTGGTAACCCATCCTTTAATGTGAGCAAACAACCAAGGATTATAAGACCTCCAAGAAAAGAGTCTAACATGAAAGAGACCAAAACAACAGAAAAAGAAATTTAGAGCAAACAGATTATGCAGAAAGAAAAAAAACTGAAACAAAACTACCATTAGTAGCTAGGGGGGTGGGGGGATGGGTTAGCCTGGTGATGGGTATTGAGGAGGGCACGTTTTGCATGGTGCACTGGGTGTTATGAACAAACAATGAATCATGGAACACTGCATCAAAAACTAATGATGTAATATATGGTGATTAACATAACAATAAAAAAATTAAAAAAAAAACTACCATTAGTAGCTTCAGAGATAAGATAAACCGTTGCGACACTGAAAAAAATAAGATGCTATTAGAAAGGAACACTCGGAGAATAACAGTAAAATGAGCATAATAAAAATCTTTACAGTATTGAAAAACTCAGTAGAAGAACGGGAAGATAAGATTGAGGAACTCTCCCAGGAAACAAAGTAATAACGACGGGAAGTAGGAGAGAAAAATAAGAAATTGTTAGAAGCAGTCCATCAGCTCCATCATCTGGATTTTAGGAGTCCCCAGAAAGAAAGAACGGGGAAAATGGAAAGGAAGAAATCACCAATGGGATGATTCAAGATTATTTCCCAGAAGTGAGAGGGCACTGAGTGCCCAGCATAATAAATAGCCTCTCACCAAGACATACCACTGCCATCCTAGAACACTAGAGACAAGGAGAGGTTCAAGAATGGGGGAAAAGTCACTTACAAAGGATAAGGACTTAAAAGGCTTCAGACTTCTCACGAGCAACAATGAAAGCTAAAAAGTAATGTCATAATGCCTTCATAACTCCAAAGAAATTCAATACCCAACCAACCAATCGATCAAGTGTCAGAGTAGAATAATGGCAATGTCAAACATGCAGAAGTTTCAAAACAATTTACCTCTCCCTTTCTCAAGAAGCTTCTGGAAGATGGTCTCCAAAAAGAGGGAATAAATTAAACAACAAAAAAGACATGGAACATGGCAAATAAAAGATCCAACAAAGGAGAGATCAAAGACAATACCAGGAAGATGAGAGAGGAGAGGCCAGGTTGCCAGGTGTGCAGCAAGGGTCGGGGATAAACACTCGGATTGGAGCAGGTCAGAAGGCTCCAGCAGAGATCTCTTCAAGAAGATGAAGTTGATAGAGTATCTGCTGTGTCTAGATATTCCTTTTTTCTTTTTTAAGATTTTATTTATTTATTTGAGAGACAGAGAATGAGAGAGAGAGAGCACATGAGAGGGGGGAGGGTCAAAGGGCGAAGCAGACGCCCTGCCAAGTAGGGAGCCCGATGCGGGACATCCAGGGACTAGATCCCGGGACTCCAGGATCATGACCTGAGCTGAAGGCAGTCGCTCAACCAACTGAGCCACCCAGGCGCCCTGTGTCTAGATATTCTGAGAAGAGATTCAGGCAACTAGGGGAAGATTTTGAGGCAGATTTTGTGATAAATACATAGAAAACTAAACAAATGAAGAAACAAGGTAAGTATTAATTCCAGGAAAAATCAAAAGTTGTGCAGGAGAGGAAGAGTCATCAAAGTTTTCTACATGGCTCAAATCTGAGTAGCAGGTGTAGTGAGTGCTGTAAAAACTGAAAACTGAACTAACAAAAATTATCACGTTAAATTTGGCAGATGAGAATGAGGTGATCTCAGTGGGCTGGGGAGGAGACCTGAAGGAAAAAAGTTAAATCCTCCAACCTGCCCCTTTTATTTGTGGGAGCAGGGGCAAGACTACAAATGGGAAACTTACTCAAATATTTTAATGTTACAACTTAAGCTAACAAACTGTTAAATAAAATACCTTCTAAACTCCTAACTTTACCAATATACCTTTATAAGGACCTGGAAAGCCAGGTTCTAAATTAGAATTTTTGGAATCCTCAGAATCCACACTAGAAAATAGGAGCCCCCAGCCCCTGACTCTTGCTTCACCCGCTTCTCCTCTGCCCTTGCCTCTGTCCTACATTGAGAAAGCTGCACACAGGGTCCTGTGAAGACCCCAGCTTGGGCTCTTGCCTCTTGCTGCCAATAACTGCCGCTTGGCTATCGGTCAGGCCTAGCGATGCCCACAGGATCAGCAAGGTCTTCCTGGGGAAGAGAGATCCAAGGAGGCAAGCTGGGCAGGGAAATTCAGAGTCCCAGGTATTCAGAATATGGCCTATAAGGGGGTAAGTGGGCTTTGGATAGGCATATCCCCCTGACTCCTTTTTTTTTTTTTAAAAGATTTTATTTATTTATTGGAGAGAGAGAGAGAATGAGAGATAGAGAGCACATGAGAGGGAAGAGGGTCAGAGGGAAAAGCAGACTCCCTGCCGAGCAGGGAGCCCGATGCGGGGCCCGATGCGGGGCCCGATGCGGGGCTCGATCCCGGGACTCGATCCCGGGACTCCAGGATCATGATCTGAGCCGAAGGCAGTCGCTTAACCAACTGAGCCACCCAGGCGCCCTCCCCTTGGCCTCCTTACCCTGTGGGGAGGGATGCAGTTGGAAGAGGGCCAGGGTAATGAAGGTAAAATGCCCAAAGAAACAGCTTCAAAGAACTGAAAATGGCTGCCTCCAGGGAGGGAGAGATGATGGAGGCAGGGCTCTGCTGTTTTTATTAACAAACCATATACAATTATTTGATTCTTTAAAATAGGTGCCGGGGCGCCTGGGTGGCTCAGTTGGTTAAGCAACCGCCTTCGGCTCAGGTCATGATCCTGGAGTCCCGGGATCGAGTCCCACATCCAGCACCCTGCTCAGCAGGGAGTCTGCTTCTCCCCCTGACCCCCCTCCTCCCTCTCATGCTCTCCATCATTCTCTCTCTCTCTCTCTCAGTAAATAAATTTAAAAATATTTTTAAAAAATAAAATAGGTGCCTACGTAGGCTAAGAAATACCTCACTTGGAAAAGAAAAATTAAAATTAAATGTGACTGGTAAAAGTTTATGGAACCTCTGACCACTTCTGCTAGAGCCCAGGGGTCTCGGTAATAAAGTCTGAAAATCACAGGACTAGGCCTTCATTTGAGGCTATCTAGGTATTGTGACGAAAACCACAATGAAGTTTCTCTCTACAATCATCCCCAAGAATGAATCCCTCTTCTTTTCCTCCCATTTGTCCCCTTGAGGAGTTCTGCTTCCGGTTGGTTGCTGTCCTACCTCTCTCCCGGTAGACTCCAAGCCCCTTGCAAGCAGGGACCCGGCTCACGGAGTTCTGAATCTCCAGCACCTAGCAAAGCACCGAGTACAGAGTACAGGCTCAACTAAGTGTTGATGAATAAAGAAAAAAGGAAACATCTTTACCCAGGCTCTGGGGAGAAGGTGCTCGATCCCTTTCTGCACCCTGCACCCGGATCAGGAGCCCTGTCAGTTACTAGCCTTGAAACCTGCATATTCATTAATTTTGGGTTGTAATTCCCTCATCTGCACAACATAGTATTTAGCTCATATCTCTAACGCCTATAAATGACTGGCTCGCTTTCACCGCTTGGTGGAAACCAAATCTTAAAAGAAGTAACTTCAGGCTCACCTAAGAAGCACGTACGCCTCCGAGGGCAGGGATTTCGGAGGATCTGTCTGCTTTTTTTTTTTCAGCTGCCGTTTGCCCAGCGCCTGGAACAGTTCGAGGCACATAACAGACGTTCAACAAATACTTGTTTAATGAATGAATTTTTAAAAAGTGCTAAAAAAATAACTATGCAACGAATAAAAGAAACTCTTTGTGAGGTGCAAAGATACCCCTACATTCTGAATGAACACGTCGGTCCAGCCTCCGGGTCCTAGGAGCGAGCGCCCGTGCGCGGCGGACGCGCCAGCCGAGCCGCCAAAGCCGGGAAGCGGCGGGCCGGGGTCTGGAGGCGGCCGGCGGGAAGGGCGAGAAGGGCGGGAAGGCAGGAAAGTCGCCGACGCGCGCAGCCGGCCCGGGACGCGCGCTCAAGCCGCTTGGTGCAGCCCGGCTTCGGCGGCTGCGGCCGCCCGTCAGGAGCTCGGAGGCGCGCTCCGCCCCCCCGTGGGCGGGCCCCGGACCTGGCGGCGCGGGGGCGGGGCCTGGCTGTCCGCGCCGGGGGCGGGGCCGGACCCGGGCGCTCCGGGCCGGTGCTGGGCCCGGCTCGTCCGCGGGCGCGACCGGAGCCCCGGCCACCAAGGGGTGCGACCCCCCACTGGCCCCGCCTTCCCGGCTACGGCCCGGCCAATCAGAGCGGCTTTTACTGGCGGGTGGGCCGAGCCGGCCCAGCTGCTCGGAGGCTCTGGCATGGTAACGTCCCCGCGCGGGGGTGGAGGGGCCCGGGGCGGTCCCACAGCGCCCCCGGCGGCCCGGGCCGGGGCCGGGGGGGGCGGGGAGGCCGCCGGGGGTACCCGGGACCCCGGGGGAGGGCGAGGGGCATGAGGAGTTAGGGAAGGGAGCCCGGGAGGGGGAGGGGAGCGGGGATTTGGGGGAGAAGGGGCGGGGAGGCCATGATGGAGGATGGCGGGGGTGGGGGCAGTGGGGGGCTGAGGGGAGTGAGAGTTGCGGGACTGGGTGAGGAGGAGGAAGGGAAGGAGAGAAGGGTGGGTTTGTGGAGAAAGGTCAGGAAAGGAGAGGGGGCGGGAATGTGGGAACCGAGGGACAAGGGGAGAGCTGGGGGCCACAGTTTCCCCTTGTGGGGTATTTGGCGTGCACCACGCCCCCCCTCAGACCCAGTGCTTGTTTCCTTTGGAAGCCCTGGATGCCCCATAAGATTACTTGGAGATCCCCTCCTTCGTTTCCCCTGCATTGTCTCCTGAGGTGAGGAGGGGGCATTGTCTCCTGAGGAAAGAGAGGCCGCGGCCCCCATCCAGTCCTGGATAGCCCAAGAAATGAGAAAGCAGGGGACCCTTGGTCCCAGCTCTGGCTCTGCCATCAACAAACTGTGTTAACAAGTCTTTGTGACCTTGGGCAAGTCACTACCTTTCCTTGGGCCTCAGATTACCCATCGGTTTAAAAAAAAAAACAAGGAAAATGCATGAGAATGATACCCCAGATCTTTTCCAGCTTCAAAATGGGGTGGTGGTTCTTGAGGAAAGAGTTCAGGAGAATGGGTTCTAGGATGTGGGGGAAGCAAGGGAAAGCAGGCTGAAGATGGAGGCGAGGCCTTCAGCTGGGGCTGCAGAAAATCCCTAGGGATGTGGGGGATGGTAGGCACAAAGCCTGCAGGGCCGGGAGCAGGCTAGCCAGCGCCTCTGGCATCCTACTGGAGGGATGGAAGAACTCTGGAAGTGGTGGAGGAGGTAGACACCTAACCCAAGAAAATGAAGACCAGAATGAGGTCTTCATTCTGAGGAGATGGCAGGACAGAGAGAAGCAATGGAAGCTTATTTCCTAGTAAGACAGCCAATAACTTCAGGGAGAAGGAGGAATATACTAAGGCTGGTGTAGAGGAGTGGGGACTTGGATGGTCTTGAAAACAGAGGGGCTGGCACTGTTTGGGGGCAGCTGAAGCAGGGCAGCAGGTAAAGGTTGACTGCAGGGTAATCCTCTGGTCTCTTGGCCTCCATGGTGTTTTTCTTTTTGATGATAGGTACTCTTTCTGAGAGGTGTGCCTTCCAGCTTTCATTTTCCAACACAGATCCCTTTAGGGAGTGAGTCAGACCACACCATCCTTGGGATCACCTGGAGGATTTCAGGATTGTGTGTGGATTGGGGTGAAAAGAAAACAGGAAAATCAATTTGTAAGAAATAGCTGTGGCACCATCATCCTTGCTGGGAGACAGCTTTGTGGAATAGTTGAAAGCACAGGCTTTGGGGTCAGGCTGCGTGGATTCTAAACCTGCCTCTGCCGTTTAATCCTTTGGAACCTTGATCAAGTTATTTAATCTCTCTGAACGTCAGTTTCTTTATAAAATGGGGGCAATAATAGCCTTTTAGATGGTTACAAGGATTAAATGAGTGTTTGGCATGATATTTGGCCTGTAATAAGCACTCAGTAAATATTAGTTGTTAGCTAGTCCCTCTTTCCATGCTCTTCCTTCCATCTCTTCATTCTTGTTCTTTTCCCCTTTTATTCTTTCTTCTGAATCTTTAGTTCTGAGATGCTGCTTAGATTAAAGGCTGAGAAGAATTGATTGCACCTTTAGGGAGGGGGGTTGGTGTCGTTCCACTGGCCCAGGTGAGCACATGATGATAAGATGATCAGTTGTCTCTTCGTCTCTCTCCAGCCCACGGATGTGTTTTTATTCCAGGGAAGACACAGGATCTGCCCTCTCAGCCCCTTTCCTATTTCCCTCTGTCACATGAGTTCAGTCTCACCCCCAGGGTGTAATGAGACCCACAGTTGTCCAGGCACTGCAGCAAGTGAGATAGGGGCAGGGGTGTTTCAGGGAGAAAAGGATACACATTGCACAGGGGAAGATCAGGGAAGGGAGGGCTGTGGAAGTTCCATGGTAATTTATGTTCATTCCGTTGCTCTGTCCTCTGTGGGAACTGTCCAAAACAGTCCAGCGTCTGGATCCTGGCCAGGGGTCTCCATTCCAAGTTAAAGATGGTCAGTGCTCGCTTTGGCGGCACATATGCCAAGTGAAAGATGCTCATATACAGTGAGTTTTTTATTATTTAGGTTTGCCTAAATAATATACCATGCCAGTATTTGATTCCAGTTCCCTTTCCCCAGCCATACAGACAGCCTCTGCCAAGCTGTTCATCTCATTACAGGCCGCCTTTACCCAGAGAATTTATACAAATGTACCTGGGCACATGGTCGCACATGCACACATTTGCCTGTTTTAGGATATTCCCATATGCAAAAACTGAATAAGGTTAAGGATGAGTCTGCATTCTGTCACGGCACTTTGTATGCAGGGCCCTGACTAGACACTCAAGAGGAGGCTTAAAAGGAGCAAACATAATCCTCCAATGTGGAGAAATCTCCCGTGTAGGGAGACAGGCAGTCCTGTGGGAAACACCCAGCAAACATCCACAGAGTAGCGTGTCATCAGTGTCAAGTAGTGCAGCATTTATCCTGAGGGGACACGAGGAGGTAGGAGTCTGTGTGTGTGTGGAGGATAATCATAAAGGTAATCTGAAGGGGGTGAATATTGGATCATCTTGAGCAAAGTGAGAGGTAAAGGAGAGTAAAAGGAACACATGGTGTATCCTAACAATTGCTGTGCAGGGAGGAAGAGGGAAGCCATTGAGTCGAGCTGAGCCAAGAACAGTAGATGGGTCATGTTGAAAGGCTTTGAATGTTAGGTGAGATTCTGTAGGGGGAGCGATAGGGAGCCACCACTAGTTCTCAGGGAAGGGTTTGGATCCTTGCTGATTTAACCACATGGGTAGCTGGGAATATGCTAGAGTGAAAAAACAGACCTGCTTCCTGTGGCAAGGAGTGTGCTGAAGGGGGTAGGACTGGAGGGCAGATTGGATCCAGTCCTGGCTCTGTCCTGACTGCTGTGGAGCCTGGGACTGATAATTCCCCTTAGTTTTCTCATCTGAGAAAGGAGACTACCTTGGGTGGTTGCCAGAGTCCCCTCTAGCTCTGACATTCTGTGTTCCCTGAATAACTAGTAGGCCTTACCAGTGGCTGTGTTTTGTGGGACCTGCCAAGACCATTCAGTCAACAAATACTAACACCTGTGTTCCAGTGGGGGAGCAGCGAGGAAAATACAATAGGGGTAAGAGATCAGGGCGAGCCCAAACGGGCAAAGCCCCTGCCCCTTTAAATTTAAGATTTAGTGGAGGCAGGGGCGCCTGGGGGGCTCAGTCGTTAAGCATCTGCCTTTGACTCAGGTCAAGATCCCAGGGTCCTGGGATCGAGCCCCGCATCGGGCTCCCTGCTCTGTGGGGAAGCCTGCTTCTCCCTCTCCTACTCCTCCTGCTTGTGTTCCTTCTCTTGCTGTGTCTCTCTCTGTCAAATAAATAAATAAAATCTTAAAAAAAAAAAAGATCTAGTGGAGGCAGCAGATACTTCATTGATCCTGGGACTCCATTTAAAACATTTCTTGTCAAGACATCTTAAAATCGATGGAGTATCATAATTTAAGTGGTGGCATTTGTTTTTTATTAGTGGCCACATAACATAATGGGACAGTCAGCACTGTATAAGTAACTGTAAACTTCCAGTGGGTAATTGCTAACGGGGAGGGTGCGTGGGACGCGAGCATGTAAAAGAGGGCTCGACTAAGCCTAGACCACTGGCCTGGGAGGAAGCCTTTCCTGAGGAAGCGATGACTGGTAGATGTAGACCTGTAGGCTAGGTGTATGGGGTCGGCAGGAAGTTGTGCCAGGCAAAGATGCAGGCCTGTTACGGGAGAACTGAGAAGGGGGCCGGAGCACAGACCCAGGAGCTCAGCATGGATGAGGCTGGGAAGGCAGTTGGGAAGGAAACCTCCCACAGCCTTCCAGGCCCTGGGGAGGAGTTTTGGCCTCTACCCTAAGAACAGTCGGAGCCATCGAAGAATTTTTTTTTTTTTTAAGATTTTATTTATTTGACAGAGAGATAGAGAGTACAGATAGGCAGAGGGAGAGGGAGAAGCAGGCTTCCCGCGGAGCAGGGAGCCTGATGTGGGGCTCGATCCCAGGACTCTGGGATCATGACCTGAGCTGAAGGCAGACACTTAATCGCTGAGCCACTCAGGCACCCCAACCATTGAAGAATTTTAAGCAGGGAATAACATGATCTGAGGTGCATTTTGATGAGCTTGTTGTGGATGTGGGGAGACTACTACAGAAGGTCAGATGAAAACAAGAGGGGTGGTGGGGCGGAGGAGGAAATGGAGAGAAGTGGACAGATTCAAGAAATGAGTACGAGGTACAATTAGCAGGACTCAGTGATGTATCGACAGAGGGAGGTGTGGAGAACGACTCACCAGTTTCTATCTTAGACAGCTGTATGGACTGTGGTGCCAATCTCAGAGGGGCAATTCTGGAGCCTGGAAGGACCCAGAGATGGTTATGTAGCATCTGGGAGGTCAGAGAGGATCCTGAGGCAGCTTGAGGTGGGCAAGTGTGGCACAGAGAATTGGATTTCCTCCCACGTTGATTAATTTCTGACTTCCCACGCTAAGGACAGTTTGGGGCAGGAGCAGATCTGAATACAGGGCCGGAGTAGTTGAACACTGAGAAAGCTGATTCTAGGTAGAATAGTGTGGCTTATCCCCTTCTCTCCTTAGGACAAGATGGGTGGGAAAGAGGAAGGACAGATACTATGAGAGGCAGGGATTGGAAAGCATCTTTAAATGCCAAGCCCTCTCAGCATAGGGCTCATGGGGGAAGTAAGGAAGTTGGGCAGCAGTGAGGTAGCGCCTCTTCAGCCAGCTACCACCTTTCCCTAGAACTCCTCCCTGGCACCCTCTAACCCTCAAGCAGAAGGAGGAAGGGCAGGGCCTTTTAGCTGCATCTCCAAGCCTCAGTTCACTTGAAAAGATTTTTTTTTATTTTGAATGGGTAATATAGTCACATGGATGCATATTCAAAAGTTAGAAAAGGGCATACATACTGTGAGAAGTTTCCCTTCCCATCTCAGTCCTCGTTCTACTGATTTCTTTCTTGTATGTCGTCTTTAATCTCCAGTTTTCATACAAATGATCCCACTTTGCTGCACTTTGCATTTTTTTCTGCTTGTTAATGTATCTTAGAGGTTGCTCCTGTCGAGACAATGAACTTCTTCGTTCTTTTTTTATGACTGCAGAGTATTCCATTTTATGTTTGTGTATAATTTCATAGTTACTTAGTGATGGGTATTTAGGCTGATTCCATTCTACTGTTTTTACAAATAATGCTGGAATGGAAACGTTGTATACACATCATTTTGGCCATATCTATAGGATGACTTTTTAGAATTGGGAGTGTTTGTTCCTTCATTTGTCTCTTCTTGCATTCGTTCAATGTTTATTGAGTACCCATTATGTGCCAGACACTGTGGCAGGTACCAGGAGTCCAGCTTTCAACAAGTCCGACACATCCCTGTCCTCATGGAATGTTATTACACGTTAGTAAGGGGAAACGTAATAATTACAAAACCGTATACACCAGGAAGCTAAGAAGGGCAATCAGATAGAGAATAAATTCAACACTCAGGAAGGCTCTTGGGAGCAAGTGGTATTTAAGCCAACAACTGCGGGATGGGATGTGGCAGCTAGTAGGGCGTAGGACAGGGAGATCTAGATTGTTCAAAGTCTCAGCCATAGGGAGAGGAGTTCGGGATCCGTAGGGGAGGGGGAGTAGAGCTGTAGAGGAGGGGGTGATTGGGAGTGGGAGGTGTCAGAGTAAGCGAGGGAGTAAAGATGAGGCCAGTTGTGGGGGGGCCACAGTGAAGAGAGAGGGAGACAAGCACTTAAGAAGGCGTGGTGACTGGGTTTAGAGGGCTTTGGGATTGAATCTAATGGTGAATTCAGGTAAGGGGACGGGAAGAGAGGTCACTTCCTCCCTGGCTACTTTGGGAATGAGATACCCCTGTTTAAGGCTTGAGGGAGGCACAGCCTTGCCCACAGACGGGAGAATGGATGAAAAGCCTCGGGAAGAGCCAGACTGGGCCTGTAGGACAGCCGTCTCTCTCTTTTCTGTGGCTCGGGCACGACAAAGACGACCTGGAAGGGGCCCGGCCCGCTGGCTCCTGGCTGGTGGAAGAGAGCAGACCTAGCCAGGGCTTGGAGCTGGGCATGGGCAGGAAACCGGGCCAGGAGACCCTTCCTCTGAACTTTGTGCTCCTTTTTCATCCTCACCGCTCTGCTTCCCTTCTGCAAAAGCCCATCTCTTTGCCCGTCCTGGGTCCTATGACTTTTCTCTCCCTCAACAGTCGGTTCCCGATTCTGGTCCCCGGCCCCCAGCAGCGCCTGCCCCCTTCCCACCGGGGCCCCCCATGATGCCACCACCCTTCGTAAGTTTTATGTCTTTCCCTGGGCTTGGCTTTTCCAGCCTGCACCCCCACGTCCCCGGTCCCTAGCACCGCTGCATTGCCAGCACGGTTTTGTGTCCTGCCTCCCCTGGAAAAGGGGTGGTGTTGCTTGGGCATTGGGGTGGGAGGAGCTGCTGTTGAGCTCCCAGTCCCTAAAGTCGACAGCTCCCCTTTGTCTTTTTGTCCCTGGGACACACTGGGGCTGGGATAGGAGAAGTGGAAGGGAAAAGACCCTGTTAGTGTGAGGGCATGGTGGGGCTGCCTTTCTCTTTCACTACTCCTTCTCTGTTCTTTCAATATGCCACAGAAGTCAGGCTGAAGTAGCAGCTGGTGGTCATCGAGCTGGAGAACAAGGGATGGGAGGCAGGGGACTGGGGCATTTGGGAACCTGGAATCCTGCCTTCTGGCCCTGCCTTGGAGAGGCCTCTTTGGGGAGAGTTGCTGAAGAGATGGAGCCTTCCGCCACAGTCTGGTGGCAGTTAGACTTTTCCCTCTCCCTTCCCTACCTCTGAAGAAGCTGTGTGCTTGCCTGTTAGACCCAGAAGACCCCCCTTCCCCCCCCACCCCCAGTTTTCAGTCTTTCTCGGTGGTGAGGAGCAGGCAGTTTCACGCTTTGTGCTTCTCACACTAAAGCCTTGGAATTGCCTCCGAGCCAGGGTGGAGGGTCGAGAAGGGTGGGAGACAAGTGGATCTTCCCTGACAGGTCCAAGGCGGGGTCTTCTCTGCTCAGTGTCCCTTCCTTTCCTCACTTCCAGATGCCCCCTCCAGGAATCCCCCCACCCTTTCCTCCGATGGGACTACCCCCCATGAGTCAGAGACCACCAGCCATCCCCCCGATGCCACCTGGCATCATGCCCCCAATGCTGCCACCAATGGGGGCGCCACCGCCACTCACGCAGGTAATCCTTTCTCCTGCACCAGTGCCTCAGGAAACCCCGGGAGTCCGGCTGGGGGTGGAGGTGAGAGTGGGCGCCTGGAGCTCAGGAAGTAGAGAAGTGAAGAGAAGAGTAGAGCTTTGGCTCGGCCCGTGTGGCTTTGTCTTCCCAATGATGGGAGAAAACTCTCTGGCTGGGCTGAGAGCCCAGAACCTGGGGATTGTCTGCGGCGGGGGGGGGGGGGGGGGGGGGGGGGGGGGGGGGGGGGGGGGGGGGGGGCGGGGGGGGGGGGGGCGGGGGGGGGGGGGGGCGGGGGGGGGGGGGGGGGGGGGGGGGGGGGGGGGGGGGGGGGGGGGGGGTGGGGGGGGGGGGGGGGGGGG